AATACACCGACTAGTAGAATTAAATTGTTTCAAAGACGGATGAAAATSACTCGAATGTATTCTTAACCAAACATTTTCTTTGTACAATTTGGTGACTTTGGTTGCTATGAAGTAAATCGACCAACAGCTTTTATATTAGCACAGACTAAAACAAACACTGTATTGATTAACTGCGCGCTCTCTGATTGGCTGACGACCGTGTTTACATTATGACAGAGCCAACAGCTTACGCAGAAATATTTTAAAGAAACGAGCCACAAGCCAGTCTGCAATCTTTAAAGAACTATAAATGGCCGCTTGTGTCTCTTTCATCTGATATAAACACGGTGAGAGTTGAAAAACACGAGAGAAGCAAGCTTAAAAATAGCCGATCTCCACCTATTTAACAATTAGACCTCGAGGTCGAGTGGACTACGAGCTAATAGCCCATGAGGCCGAGTCCGCGTAGTCTCCTCGCAGCCGTTCTTAGTGGCGGGCTCCCTGTCCCCCCCCGCGGGGGACAGGGAGCCCGCCACTATAAAGAACGGCTGCGTGGAGACTAGAGTCCGCGAGGCCGAATGGGCTATTAGCTCGTAGTCCACTAGCCTGTGTACATCCATTTCTCAGCCCTCAAAAAATCGGGGAGGGGTGAGAAACGGATGTACACAGGCTAGTAGTCCACGAGGCCGAGCGTTCTAATTGTTTTAGTATGAACATACTACTCGGTCAAATAATGAAAACAAATTGAAATATCCTTAAAATAAATTATCATTTATCATTTATTTATTTTGATTTTTAATCCGCGAGTGGTCTATCACAAATAGACCACCAGTATGAGTGATAGACCATTAGTATGTTTATACTAAAAAAAATAAATACACGACTTTTGCAATATGTTCAAGCGCAWGTTTTGATATCTTATATTCAGTTTTTCAGTTCGGAAACATTCCAAAATCATCGACATAGAAGTTAAAAAAAAACTTGCTATTTCTCTACACTGCTATTACAAAAAGAATGCTTTTTGCAAAACCCACCAGGCGATATTATAGAGACCCGTCRAATCATATTGCCAATTTACTACAAGTCACAGGGCAGCAGGCTAAACTTGTAACGCAGGAGAGAAATGACTTCGCCGAGTTGATTGCTAAGATCAASCCSACTCTCTGACAGCATCGCCGTCTACAAGAGAAATTAACTGTACTATACTGTACTATACTGTACTCGGTTGACTGGACTTATTTCTCTTGTTTTGTGTTCCCCAGGGATAATGAAAACAAAAGAAACTAGCCCGTTCTACCAGGGCCAGCCCGCTTCAATATAAGGCTACGGCCCTAAAATCACAACTGAGATTTTAAGCCATTTTCCACGAGCGGAAAGATAATGTTTTCATAAGTAACAATTTGTAAATTGATTATTAGGTGGACAACTCAGCATTTTGGCGCATGCTACCTGGTCCAATCACAGAAAAAGTCACGTGAGTTGTCACGGGAAAGTTATTCATGGTCACTCGTTAGAAATSGCGGCGGATTAGATGGCGATTGTAATGTTTCAATGAAAAGCGACAATGTAATAGTACCATTCTTTATTGTAACCATTTATCCCGACTCAACGTCTAAAGGTAAGTCACTKTTCTAAAGAGTGAAAAGCTTTTGAAATGGATCAACGTACTTATGT